AGATGCCACAGCACTCTACCCAGGGGGACAGCTTGAGGTTCCTGTCTCAAAAAAAAAAAAAAAAGAACATGAATGGATATTTATCCAAAGAAGAAAGATGGCTAAATGGCCAACAGAAACATGAAAAGATACTCAATGTCATTAGTCATTAGAGAAATGCAAATCAGAACCAAAAGAGATATCACTTCCTACCTACTAGGATTGTTTTAAATTTTTCTTTTTAAGAGACAGGATTTTTTTTTTTTTTTTTTGAGACAGCGTCTCACCATGTCACCCTCAGTAGAGTGCTATGGCATCACAGCTCACAGCAGTCTCAAACTCTTTAAGCTATTCTCTTGCCTTAGCCTCCCAAGTAGCCGGGACTACAGGCAGCAGCCACAATGCTCGGCTATTTTTTGGTTGTAGTTGTCATTGTTGTTTGGCAGGCCTGGGCTGGATTCCAACCCACCAGCTCCAATGTATGTGGCTGGTGCCCTAGCCGCTGAGCTATAGGCACTGAGCCAAGAGATAGGATCTTGATATGTTGCTGGTCTCAAACTCTTGGGTTCAAGCAATCCTCCTACTGCCTCTCAAATTTCTGGGATTACAGATATGAGCCACATGCCCCACCTAGAATGATTTAATTTCAAAAAAGAAAAAAAAGCTGGGTGCAGTGGCTCAAGCCTATAATCCCAGCACTTGGGAGGCTGAGGCAGGTGGATTGCCTGAGCTCCCAGGTTCAAGACCAGCCTGAGCCAGAGTGAGACCCCATCTCTAAAAAATAGCTGGGCATTGTGTTGGGTGCCTGTAGTCCCAGCTGCTTGGGAGGCTGAGGCAAGAGGATCACTTGAACCCAAGAGTTTGAGGTTGCTGTGAGCTAAGACGCAATAGCACTCCAAAAATAATGATAAATTAAATTAAAATACAAAAGAAAAAGAATAAAGAAAGTAACAAGTGTTAGGATGTGGAGAAACTGGAATTTTCATACATTGCAGATGGGAATTTTTTTTTTTTTGAGACAGAGCCTCAAGCTGTCTTGAGTAGAGTGCTGTGGCATCATAGCTCACAGCAACCTCCAACTCCTAGGCTCAAGTAATTCTCCTGCCTCTGCCTCCCAAGTAGCTAGGACTACAGGTGCCCACCACAACACCCAGCTATTTTTTGGTTGCAGCCTTCATTGTTGTTGTTGTTTTTTTGGAGGGCCCAGGCTGGATACGAACCCTCCACCTCAGGTGTATGTGGCTGGTGCCTTAGCCACTTGAGCCACAGGCACCAAGCTGCAGATGGGAATGTTAAATGGTACAGCCACTGTGGAAAACAGTGGCACTTCCTCAACATGGAATCACCAGATTACCCCCAGGACCCAGTAATTCTACTTCTGGGTATCTACCCAAGTAATTTAAAGCAGAGACTCAAAAAGCCACTGGTTCATGACTATTCATAACCACACTGTTCCGTTCCCAATAGATAGAAGGAGAGACTCCAAAGTCCATCAACTGATGAATCAATAAATAAAATGTGGCCCAGCCACAAAGAATGTCATTTGGTCATAAAAAAAAAAAAAATGACACCCTGGGCTCGGCACAGTGTCTCACATCTGTAATCCCAGAACTCTGGGAGGCCTAGGCTAGAGGATCACCTGAGCTTAGGAGTTCAACACCAGTTTGAGCAAGAGCAAAATCTCATCTCTACTAAAAATAGAAAACTTAGCCAGCCATGTGACCAGTGCCTGTAGTCTCAGCTGCTTGGGAGGCTGAGGCAGGAGGATCACTTGAACCCAAGAATTTGAAGTTGCTGTGACTTTTGAGCTTTGATGATGCCACTGCACTCCAGCCTGGGGCAATACAGAGAGACTCTGTCTTAAAAAAAAAAAAAAAGACATCCTGACATATGCTACAACAGGAATGAACCTTGAAAAACATTATGCTGGGCTCGGCGCCTGTGGCTCAAGCGGCTAAGGCGTCAGCCACATACACCTAAGGTGGCGGGTTCGAATCCCCAGCCT